AAGTGTACTGGAGTTCCTCCTTGAGAAGAGGCAGCTGCTATAAAAGCCAAGGCTGAGGAATGCAATGGTGTGGGCCAAGCAGAGCTCATTAGCCTTTGGGGAAGAGCTGCTGACTGCCGACTCTGTTCTGGCTCGATGGTAAGACACAGCCTAGAAATACAGAAGCGTAGCGCTCATTGAAAGGTTCTGATGAAAGTCTTTTTCAACAGAAAATACTGAGATTGATTAAAGTGACTCGTTTTGTGAGAAGTAGCTTCTGGCTTTGGGAAATTTGTTTTTCATTAAACTACAGAGCATATGCAAAACAATAACACATTGATTTGGCTATGCTGTGACGGTGCCTTCCTACAGCCTATTTTAGTTCTCGTGTTCACATTCTCTTCTCTGACTTGGGGAGACTTTAGTGGGTCCTGAGAGACGCAGCTTGATGCGTGGAGCCATCTTGGATGAGAAGATGGGAGCACAAGTGCGTGAAGTCCGGTATCCGGTATTGAGGGCATCAATTTGATAACAATAAGTATTTGAACTTTCTGTAACGTTTTCACTTTTATGAAACCTCTCATTTTTGCCTTTTTTTCCCTCAGAACAAATACATGATTTCTCTTCACCCCCCATCATTTTAATGACAATCTTGTGGTCATTAAAACTTTGGTTGGGAAAAGATATTTTGGCGTAGCCTTGTCAAATAAGTAGGTAAATAGTGCAACCCCTCCAGGAGATAAATGAAAGTTTGTGGGGTTGGGGTTAGTTTTTGAGGGGAGGGTGTTTATTTAACACTAATGACCCCAAATAATCCTCCCGAGAAGATGACAACTGCTCAGCACTCAAATAAAGCAGACTGGATCTTGCAGATTTCTTCAGCGCATAAGACGAGGGCCAGACTAGCCGGCTGATGAATTACTGTCGTCAGGGCTGGATGCAGAAATGGGAAGTGCCCGGCTTCCTATTTAGGTTTCAGGTTTAGGTTTTAGTTTAGGTGTTTTCCCTAAACGTCTGGCCTGTTTCCGCCTTCCTGAGGGGAAGACTGGACTGGTAGCTCTCCATCCCTGTTGATGGCAATGCTGCTTCAAGTAGCAAATGTAAACTCCTTTCCTGAAATAGCCTCAGCTGTCCCCTGCCCCAGGGTTAGCCTGGAGGTCAGGACATGGTCCTGTGAGCGTGATTTAGAAGAGAGGCAGAGGAGTTATGTCTTTAGATGCTATTTCAAAGTTGGAAAAGTTATTTTCCCTTGATACTCCAGCCAGATCTCCCTTATTTATGGCAAGAGTGCTAAAATACGCCAGAAGGAGGAAGAGCAGTCCTTGAGTAAGGGGATGGGATGTAAACTATTCTTGGTCGACCTGACTAGCTCTGTGCTGAACCATAACTAGAAGCGAGGCTGCCTTCTCCAGAGCTACTTGCATGGCCCATTAGCAAGATTCCTGGTGCTTCAGGAAGGTTTAATTTGAGAACAGCGGTATGTCGGTGCACAGAGCCAAATCAGGTCCAGTGGTGTACTCCAGGAAATAAGCTGCCCCGGTTGCCCGGAGTGCAGGGGGGTGTGCGGCGGGGTTAGCTTCGCTGGAGCCAGCTCAACTCCAGCTGAACCACGTAGTTCAGCAAAAGCCAAGCAGCCCTACAAGCACAATGGTAGCGTAGCTGAGCTAATAACCCAGCTTTTTACCTCTGTATGGGAAGCATTTCTGCCACCCAATCCCAGCAGAACTGAGAGATGAGTGTTTATTTAAAATAAGTGTTAAATTTAATTTCGCGTGATCTTGACAAGCCGTCCACCGGGGGAGGGTTGAATGTTTAGGATCCATTATACTTCAGGAAGTCTTAGTGGGCTCTGCTCATGTGTTTGGACATTCTCAAATATCTGCAGGATGACAACCCAAATTCTTAAGGTGAGGTTGAAGTAAATAGAACTTTCTGTTATATGTAATTTGGTACAGGAAAAAGTGTTGCAAGTAAAGAAAGCTCAAACGCATGTTTGAATACTTTTGGTAAATCCTCTTGACATTGTGAAGAATTAAGATGTTATTGCTGGTTTAAATGTGAAATGTCTCCAAAGACACATCAGTATTGTTTATATGCTGTAATTTATTTCTTTTAAAAAACTATTAATCTAGGTAATACTGATCTCCAGTAAAGGGGATCATCAATAAGCAGAAATAAATCTATCACAATGATACCTAAAGGTTTCTGCAATTTTCTAGAGAAGTTTGCATATCTACATGAAAATAAATTGTATTGAGGGGGAGGCTAGTTGTTTATTCTTTATGAATCAGACTTGGAAATACACAAAGGATAAGTACGTACCTCTCCTTCCCACCATGTCTTCTGTAGCCTTTTTTATTTGGGGTGTTTATCTGTGGAGAAGAAGGAAATCAAAAAGACCGTTAATGAAATTGAATATGGTCTTTCATAGCTCAGCCAAATTTCTAATGAATAGATTTCTCTGGGTCAAAGCCAAGATCTGTGTATCGTTTTGGAAGGGTGAAAGCTTTACAGTTTTGTGTCTGATCGTTGCACAGGCATCTGTGGGAGGGAAGAAACCTTAAATGTATGAGTGGGGATCAGCTGGTTATTTATGTCATGGTAACAATGTGTATAAAGATATGATCCGACACGTATGTCAAAGTAATTCCTGTTGACTGACTTCAGGGAAAATGCATTGTAAATCCAGCCACTCGGTGTGCTTGGGATTCTGATACAAAGGTAGCTGCTGGGGAGTTTTTTCTGGGGCTGTCAGACTATTTATTTTGCAGTCAGGCTGATTTTATCTGGTTTTAATTCATTTAAGAAAAGTCTTTTTTAGAAAAACAAAAACGACACTCCTCCTTTCCCTTCCCTTCGCTTTCCCAAAGCAACCCTCTGTATGTGGGAAATATCATGTTATTGTCTTAAATTAGCAGGATGCATCCAGAAACAGCATTTGTAGTTGCTTGGGTTTTTTTAATAAAGTTCATTTTACCACAACGTACGTCATTGCTGAAACTGAATTTTTGTAAGAGGTTTCATCTTTACCAACTTTCCTACCACCAAATAGTGAAACTGCTATTTTTAAAATGCTTTTAGAAATGTTATGTCGGGTGTTTTTTCTAAAGCCACAGCTATCAAAGTTTCTTGATTTATTGTTATCACGGCCATAGCGGTGACACTGATGTATTTTAAGTACTCGGACAGGGATGAAAATGGCCTTAACTGTTGCCACGAATGTCTGTCTTGTTCTTCATTGTATGGTGATGATTGTGCAAAAAGGGGCACGGGGATTTATTAATTATTCAGAAACTAGCCTGTTTATCTGGAAGAAGGATGTATAAAGTTATACTGAAAGTGGTACTTTCACTGCCTGCAGTTGCCAACCTTGGTAACTGAAGCCCTTACGGCTACCAGTGCTTCCAGTCTCCTGATCCTGTGGCAGAGAAATTTGAGCCCATTTTACAGATGAGGGATTAAGGAGAAAAGAGACCAAACGGCTTCCCAGGGCAATACGTGACATGTGTGACAGAACTGGGTGTTGGATATAGCTGATGTTGTCCTCATCCAGAATCTTAGCAGAAAGTGATCATCCTTTCCAAAGTGGATGAAATTTTCCTCACTGAGCCAGCACGATTTTCAGTATTTTGTTTCTTCTTTTCTCTGGGAAGTGCAAACTGTAATAATAAAGACTGGAATACTTGAGGAAGATGCCTCCCAAATTAGCAAGCTATGGTTTCTTATGGAAAACCTGCATCCAAGCCATTGATGAAATATAGAAGCCCAGGAGAATAAAAGGCTTACCAGGGTTTGAAAGACCTCCATTTACATAAATATGCAGAGACATCTGTTACAGTCATGAGTGACCTGCTGGTTTAAATCATCAGCAGGGGAAACTTGTAGTCGATCAGCATTGCCTGCAGTAGCAGGTGCTACTTTAGGCAACAGGAATTACTGAAGAGGTTTTCGATGAACAAAGACCTTTCTGCTTGCCAAGAAGAGACATACGGGAAATTGAAACAAACGGCACACGCCTACGGTCTTTCATTTGTAATATGCGACGAGAGCGTAGTGTGTGCTTCTGCGTCCAAATCTTTACATGATTAGTTGTAGGTATGGTGTGGCTGACAAAGTTTATGTCAGAGAAGTACTTACGTCTTTTCAAACCAAACTACTTAAGTCAGATTCCCAAACAGAAATGAATCATCAAGATTTAATGGAAAATGTTCAAAACAAATTTATCATCTAAAAAACAGTGGTTTTGTTATCAGAGTATAAGCCCAAAATAGTAATGTAAAACTGTCATCCTAAAGGTTATGATTACTTAAGTGAATAATTGAAGTTTAATTCTTGCTCACCATTAATCAGCAGAGACATTATAACATTGTAACTTTATGTAATGCCAAGATATTTATATTCCTTGTTAGCACAAGGTATATGGTGTTCTCTCTCTTTTTATTTTTTTTCTCTCACTCCGCCTGCCCCCAGTAATAAAATTTGTAATCTCATCTTAAATTTTGTTTTGTTTCTATTTTATGGGAAATTTATTTAAGTTCTCTGTGTAACATGATTTTGTAAGGAAAGAATCTGTCTTTTCAGTGGATGAACTACTGGACAGAAAACTAGATTACAAATATGGGGCTGCAAAAAGGTTATGATTTGGTGTGTTATACGTGACTGTAATTGCCAGCAGTTCTGAAAAGAAAATGCTCACACAGTAAAAAGGAATGTCTGAAGAACCTCTAGTAAAGCCACACAAGTAAAAGAGTTGACATTTGCAAAGGCTTCCAAGTTTTAAAATGCTTCCTCTGACTCTCTCATATATGTTAAATACTTCTCTTTAATTATAATAAAAGGTACATTACAGCTTAAGTACTTGATTCACAACATTTAACGGGTGCCTGACATTAGGACATAACAGCTCTAATAATTATATGAAATCTTTAAATATCTTAAGAGTTTCCACCTCTATTTTGATAACAAATTTCATACTAAATCGAGATAAAACAAAACCTGTTATTTTCTTTCCCTTTGAACAGAGCGTGGATCACACTTCTCGTAAACCTCATCATATTGAGGTTGGGCTAAGATGAGCATAACCAGTGACGAAGTGAATTTCTTGGTGTATCGCTATCTTCAGGAATCGGGTAAATTTCCTGTCTTTCCTCACAGCTTCAGGTCATAGATGCGATGGAAAAATCGGCTTTTTGCATGGTGTTGCTTTAGGAATGTTGTGTTGAATGTTTCAGCCTAATAAACTCGGATTAATATTTCTTGCACAACCCCATGTTTCTTTGAAATCATGGTCTTGAACATAATAAAAGTGCAAACATACACAGGTACAAATTAAACATTGCAGCTAGGTAAAACAAGGAAATAAATAACATTATGTTAACAAATGATTTTGTAGAGTTATATCATCTCAGCCAAAGTAATTTTTGGCAGCACAGGCACAAAGCACATGGATTTTGTATCTTTTTTCTTAGCTACTTGAAATGGTCCTGTCAGATCCTTATTAAATAAAGAGGGATTGTCTAAATTGGTTTTATATTGGCTGTAAATAGAAATTTGGGTGCAAGCGTCTGATGTTTTAGAATTTCATTAGGGTAATTATGTATGTAAACTGAGATGCGCAAGTGTCAATGTGGCTCTGTCTTAGTATCAATTCCATCTCTGTTTTCATATCAGAAAGTAACGTCTTTGCAGGGCTTTTGCTTGTAGAAGGAAGGCTTCATCTTCCTTCAAAAAAACAAATGGAAATTGAAACTTAAATTTAAGGTCTATTTTGTTTTTGTAGTCTTGATTCCACTCTTCGACTGCAAGAAGTAGAAGTTCTCTTCACTAATGGGAAATGTTCTGTTAGTGCAGAGATGATAGGGGAGGTGAGAAACACTGACAAAGGATTTATAGCCAGGATCCCAGTTTACTTGGTACTGGCCCTATGTTCTGGGTTGGTAAAAGTAGAATTGACTAAAAATATTTGTTTTTTCATATGCTGAAACAACAACAACAAAAATCTGTGAAAAATACGCATCTTCCTGTCAGAAGACTTGAGGCCAGTTTTAGAATAAGCCCTCCAGACTTGAGAGGTCTCTTGGACAGAGGACCAAAATCCCAGCAGATAGAAGATACTGGGTTAGCCTGTTTCTGTTGGTCGTTATAACTACCATTCATTACATTCCTTAGATATGTTATTTTGATCTGTTTCTTCTACTTCCAAGACTATTTCAATGCCAGGAACCAAAATCCCTATGCAGGGAATCTCAACTGAAATTGAGAAGATTTATAATACTTTTTCAGGGTTTGGTCTTCTAAAACAGCTCTTTGAGAGTCCAGCTGTGGCCTGTGTTAGTAGCTGTTTTCTCACATTGTATTCTCTCTAATAACAGAGCTTATAAAAAATAGTCTAGTTCTGGCATGCAATCATATGAAAGAAAGACAGGAACTAGCAAAACTAAAATTTCATCCAGACAAAGTTTATGTTTAAAAATAAGCTATTGGATATGACACTAGAAAGGGCTTTTGAACATTAGATCAGTGCTCAGATGGACATAATCGAAGCCTAAAGAATCCTGAAATTGTTTTATGTTGATATATTTGTATCGTAGAAGATTCTATGTAGCAGTGTATTAATACAGTAACTTTTCGTGATGTGAAAAAAGAAAACCAGCCTTTTCTATTCCTCTTCATAGATCTGTAGGTGGGTTAGCATTGTGTAATGATTCAGAAGGGGGCTTTACAAAGTCAATCAAGAATGGTGGTATCAGCCAAATGTCAGGAAAAAGTTCTTCTAGGTAACCCCTCTCCCACAAGCAAGCAATCACTTTTTCCATTTTAGGGAGAACTTCACATACAAATTTTCATATTAATTGCAAGTTGTACTGCTCTTATCTTTTTATGTACAGGGCCAAATGTTTTTTTACTTAATCCACACATACTAAAGGCATTCACAAAAACATTGTATTTCCACTGTTTCTATTGTATTTTACCCATATAAGAGAGTAGAAGTTGAGGTTAAATATTTGAAGAAATATTCAAATATGCTTCAAACTGAGCATACTGAAATCTAGATGCTAGGTGTTGATTTAGTAGATCTACCTGACAGTTCACTAGTAATACCATTCAGCAAATAAGAGCTATAAGCAATGATGAATTCACTAATCTGTTTTAAAAGCTTCTTACATTCAGTTTGAATCTTCTTTCATACTTTCATTGTTTTTTCCAAAGAAATTTTTGGATTTTTATTTTCAGATAAAGTAGGGTAATAAGACAGAAATTGTTATACAGCATTTTGCCTTTCCACCTGCTAGTATAAATGCCATAAGATGCGACAACAGTTGAATGATGTTTAATCAATAGCTTCAGAAATAATGCATGCCAAATTTAGAGGGCTAGTGTTTAACTACAGTTTAAGTTCAAACCCCTACAGTTTCAGGAGTTTGTCAAAACCAAGGTTATTACATTGATTATTTATTAACATTAGCTGCACCCAAAGCTTCTAAAAATTATATCAAACACAGCCATAAATGTTGCTTACAAGACTGTACAAAAGTTTAATTATTTTTTTTTAGGAATCTGTCCTTTAATCTTATACTGTAAAACTTCCAGGCTTTCCCATAAAATGTAGGCAAATGGTGGGGCGAGGAGAGAAATGGCAAAAGGAAATACATAAGGCAGAACAACTATGAAAAAAGCAAACTGTACCTGTAATATTTCAAGTATTTTGCAACTGCAAGGCACAGAAGCACTTGAGATTATTTGAAACACTATAGCAAAATACTGATGGATGCTTTACACTTCGTTATGAAAATGCTAGCAGGTCATTCTAGTAGAAGTTCAGATCTTCTAAAATTGAAGTTAGAAGTGAAATTCAGTAATTATATTTCCTCCTTAATTCTCTGTCAGACTAGAAAACTTGCACAGGAGAGTTGAACTGTCTAAACCATTATTGTTGCTTTTTAACAAATCTTGGCATACCAAGGGGAGTTTCAGTGAACTGGAAAAAGCAAACGTTGTGCCAGAATTTTTAAAGGTTAAACAAGATGATCCAGGTAACTGTAGGTCAAGCAAAGTCATTGGAAGTTTGAAATTAGATACCTCCAACAAAGAATGAAGAGATGACAGCATGCCTAATGCCAGCCAGCAAGTTTTTTGGATAATAGATCTTGTCAAACAAACTTGATACTGCTTTTTCCAAGATCACAAATGAAGTTGACAAAGATAACTGCGCTGACAATAATACACTTAGACTACTTTATGACATTTACTTAGCCTTGTTGACACTGGTTAAAAACAAAACGAAAGAACAGTGGGTAAAATCAGTGTAATCCAGGGTTACCAAATGGATTAAAAACAGACTAAGGGAAACATCTTGAAAAGTGATTAGAGTTGGGGAATATTCATCTCACAGGTTGCTGCTAGTGGGAGCTCACAGGAATCTCTTCTTGGCATGATACTGCTCAATAGCTTTATCAGTTACCTGGAAGGAAATATAAAATGATTCTCAAGTACATTTGCAGATGGAATGAAATAGTAAATTGTGTCACTCAGTGAGTTATACTGGCTGATCGTGTGGTATAACAGAAAAAAGTACAGCCAGGGAGACTGCTTTGAGTTGCCTGCTTCTCCAGCAGCAGGCTGGAGAAGATGCCTGGTCCAGGGGCAGTACATTCAAATCCCTCCAGTACAAGACAGGGTTTGGACAAGTTAAGGCTCCAATTGCTTAGCTGTATTAAAATAAGTAAGTAAATAATTGGCTCTTCACATAGTGACTGTCTCAGGGCTTCTCTGTGCCCAGAAAAACAAATCAGTCAGGCATGATTTCCATTTAGGCTCCATGGGTTGATGGCATAGGAATTCCACCACTAAGGTTGTCACTTCCACTGTAGGACCATGAATGCCCCCCTTCTTGAGGAATGAAGAAATTGAGTGTTTAATTTCAGTTTAAGATTGTTACATCCTATCCAAAAGTCAAGTTCTGCAATGTTCAGTTTGCTCCTTTTTTGAATATGAGCTTTTTGGTGCAAAATTTGAAGTGGCCCAATTCTTAAAGTGCTGAGTTCTTCCAAGCATTGTTTATTTCAAAGTCAAACTTTTAAAAGTCAGGTTATATTTATTTGTAGGTGTCTTGATTTAAAGAGTACCTTTAAGTGAAAATGTTGGCCTCAGTTACTAAAATCAGGCTAAGGTTATGTCTACACTGTGAGTCTGCTACCAGTGTGGAGATAGGAGCATACAAAACATTCCTGGGGTGGATGTAGTTATACTAAATAAGCAGGTGCATTGACAAAAGTGAAACAAGCTATACCAAAGAAGCCACAGTTCTTGCATCCAAATTACGTTGGTTCAGGTTTGCACCTCTTCAAACTCCCGAGACACATACTTTTGCTAGCAGCCATCTTCACTGCTGACAGAGTCCTTATATTGGCTTTCTTCAGAGGAAGAACTGTGTTTCTACAAAACCATACAAAATTCAGAATACAGAGTTTTCCCGTTCTGCTTTGTCTGCCTAAAAGAGAAACAGATAATTATTTGTCTTTTGAAATGATGGTCAAAGCAGTACAATGCGATGGGAATAATAGGGATTCCAAGGAAAATTGAAAAAGCGGTGAGGGGGGATGGCAAAACCAAGGGAAATCAAATCTCTCACATACCCTTTAATCTAAAATGTGCTGTCGTCTGTTCTGAGTGACAAATCCTATCATAAGTCCAAATACTACAATAAATTACCCTCCTTTACGCAGCCCAACATGTCAATTCAGTTATTAAAGCTTTTTCAGATTTGGTGGTTTTGATGTATTGATCGATTTAATTGTGTTCCTTTTCTAGCACTTACATGCATCTTGCAGTATAGAATACTTATCTGAAAATCAGCTCCCCAGCTGTCTGCGGCTTATACTGCTCTCTAGTAGGGCATTTGTTGTAGTGGATGTCTGGCAATGACGTGTTAGTTAAGGTTGTGTAACAGTTTCCATTTTCACTCATATTTTTACTGTTCACTTTGGATTTTTCCATGTTTTATGACATACACTTGATAAACTGTTCCTCAGTGTACAATCCATACCATGTCCAAGACAATAAAAACACTAGTTGGATGCTTTTACTAAAAAGATGTCAATGAAATGTTTAGCTGCTGACTTGGGACAGT